GTAAGATAAGGGCTCTTTACGTATCCCTTAGGTCTTAAGACCTGTTCTTCTGTCTCTTAAGCCCTTAACCCCCACCCCCCACTCCTCAAGTCCCTCAGGGACTAGCTCGTCTGTCCCTGAGCCCTTAATCCCTGTTCCTTTGGCCTTGAGCCCTTAACTCCTGCTCCTCTGGCCCTTAGTACCCGCTACTTTAGCCCTGAGTCCTTAACACCTGTTCCGATGACTCATTATTCAACTTATGGGCTTACATAAGTTGCATTTTAACTCACTAGGCTTCCTGACAGCCTCGTGACCCAGCGTCAGGGGACGAAAGCCTTACAAGCATACTTAACCTCTTATATGTAGCTATATACAAAATTAAAAGTAATTGGACTGAGTGCCCCATTTTCATAATGTAAACAAGTGTAAACACATGTATACAAGTGTAAACACGGGTAAACATGAGGATGATCACGCCATGTAGACATTGGTGGAGCCAAGAGCGTTATTTTTTTAATAGAGGCCATTTTTTGTCTTCATGGGAGGCATTATACTGTTATTAGAGTCCCTGAGGCCACACTAGCGAACTAATAATGGCGACGTAGTGCAATTAGCGGTAATTAAACTCGCATTACCAACTACCCGGGAACAAGGCAGGGCGGAGCTGGCGGAACTCTGGAAGTCTTCGGCAAAAATTCCTGCAGTTAGTGCTAGAGGTAATGTCTTCGGTCTTCCATATTGGTCTTATCCCAACTCCCCCAAACTGCTTGGTAATTAATGATAGTTGGCAATTAGCGAGCCGGGGTAATGAGCCGGGAAGGGCGTCATTAGAGGCACTTCCCACCACCACTACCCTATCCAGAATCCTGGCCTGGCCCCCCTATCCCTTCTGTGTCCGGGCGTTCGCTTTGGCTCCGGATAGGGCTTCCGGAGAATGGGAAGAGGCAGCGGGTGTTCCAACTCTCGTGAACTGGGGCGATTGAGCTTCTCATAGGATGCTTAGGAGGGCTCTAGGCAGTAATTACTTCACATACACAATTGTTTTTCTCAAGTGAGACTTGCATGTTTTATAACTAGTTAAACTCACCTGCCTCTACTGTAAGTCTTACCTGAAGCTGCGGTTGTAAACTTGTAGATACGTTACCCATGTCAACCCGGTATCCATGTCAACTCGATATCCATGTCAACCCGGTATCCATGTCAACCCAGCATCATTCCACCACACACGAGTTGAAGAAATTTTTGAAATATAGCGATAACGACATCCCAACGTATGTCAGTACATTTCCAATTTGAACAGTTGAATGACAACATGATGGAACGAAAGATACGGAAGGAAATGCAGAATGCAACCAGTGAGGAGTAGAGGTGCCATCAGCACAATCAGAGAGCACTGCATGAACATCAGACGCCTTCAAAAAGCAATTAGATAGGTTCCTGGAAGAATTAAGCGCCGAACCAATCGGGTTGTAGTGGATATGTGGGCCTGCGGGGCGCTTCGCACAACAGCTTGTTGGACCAGGTTATCACAAGTCGAGCCTGGTCCCAGGCCGGGCTCGGGGAGTAGAAGAACTCTCTGAACACCCTCCAGGTATCCCTTTTCTGTCTCTGCCTATGTCTATATCTGTCTCTCTCTTGCCAGTATGTAGCATGTGTGTCACTATGAAGCAGGTGTAGGAAACATGTGTGTACATGGGTTCAAGACATGGCTGGTTAACTTGGCAGGCAGCTAGTGGGTGTTTGGGAAGGGGGGATTGCAAGAATGATGGCAGTAGGATACTTGATGCTGATGTCATAAACATATATCACAGGCTTTTACACGCAAAGTAATATTTTTTTAATGATGTTATATAATATTCTTATAATATCATATTTCGTCATAATGTTTTATAATATAGCATGAAGAAAAAAAAAATTCAAAATCGAGTTAATATACTTACAAAATTTGTCGTTGGGGTCGCTTTGGCACCATGTCAAGTACTACTCGCTTCACTGATGCCAATCCCGATCCACCCATGTCCAGATACTAAAAAGCATGTTTTAGCTGTCTATGACACTTGTATCAGTGAAGAGATAGTTTTAAGACCCCCCTTTAACATTAATTATAAATTGACTATGCTGCTTGAATACAATTCTGTAAATTGCTATGCTAATGGGGAAGTAATTTGAAATTGCAGTACAACCTAAACAAAGGTTCCTAAACACCATCCAAACATAAGTTAGTAAGCCCAAACCAAACACAAGTCACTAAACTCAGCCCAAACAACTCAGTCAGATAACACAGCCTAATAAACACAAAGCCAACACAGTTCAGTAAACAGCCCAAACACAGGTCAATAAACACACTATAAACACGTGAAAGCACAACCCAAACACGAAAAAACACAGCCCAAACACCAACACCAAGTCTAGACAGTAAGTCTCAAAGAATACCTAAAATAACTAGAAACTGAAACAAAATTTTTCCCCCCTAATTCCTCCATGGTTTTTTGCTATTTTATTTTCCCTATTTTTTCCCCTGCCGGTCGCATTAGTGGCCCGACACCCACTTAGCTGTTAAAAGGGGCCGGTTACCAAGGAAACTCTCCCTGAATTATGGTTTTCTCTCGCTAAAAAACAAAAGCCCCTAACCTTCCCACCACAAAAGTGGGGGTCTTTTGAGACTCAAATGAGAAATTACAAGAACAAATCATGTGTATTTGAATTCTTCCCTTTTTGTTTCACTATATATTGTGGTCTATGTTTCACTTTCCCCGCTCTCTTCCTGTCTCCCTCCATCTCCACCTTTCTCCTCCAACATTCCCCACCTCTCCTCCCAATCTTCACCCCTCTCTCACCTATATACACCCCTCTCTTTCTCCTCCTCCTCCTTCCCTCTCTTCAAACACCCTCCTTGTACTCTGTTCCCTCTCCTCTCTTATTATAATTAACACATTTATGTACATCTGCCCTAGACTATATGAAGGGGGGTACTGTCAGAACTATAGCTATGTGAGGGTAAAACTTCCCCCGTGCTCGAAAAATTAAAGAAATCTAGGGACGGCTAGCCACCTTTCGCCGATTAGGTGAGGGAGGGAGGGGGTCACAATTAAGCCCTGTTCCCTCTTGATAGGACCAATAGGGCCGACCCCGACCAGTCTATGGCCGTCCTTTACCCCAGACCTTTCACCCTGCAAAGTTTGGTGAGGCTAGCTTCAAGCGTCTGGACTCCAGCCTCGAACAGACAAATGTAAATATATTGATGAAACTAAATTGTATGGGTATGTATACATGTGAATTCTGTGTATATAAATGTTTGTACTGTACATATCTCAAGTTATGCATTAGGATAATAAAATAGCAAGCGTCACAGTATTATGTATATTGGACCATTACATTTTGATGCTATTTACATATCTACTGAACACACTCCATCATCTTTTCACCTCTCACTCCTCTCTACTCTCCTCAGCCATCTCTCAATTCTCTCATCCCATACCCCTCTCCGCTCACCTCACACTTCTCCCCTCACTGCTCACTCCTCTCCCCCTTCTAACAGGTGTGTTTGCTGGGGGAAGGGCATATGTCTCTGGGGTGTATTGTTGGGCTTTTGATTACGACGTATCACTTCAAAAGCCCTTGTACTCACCCTCAGGATCAACACGGGCTCACACTCGTCACCCCTACACACTCATACTCGAGAACCATACACACTCACATTCCTGGTCCATGCGCCTCACATACACTCATAGCCCATACACGCACTCATGACTCGTATGCATTTACAAATATATACATATGACGCACACACTTTTGACATATACGGACGTATAACACATGTGACGAAGTGGTTAGCGCAGTTCGGTCACAGTCAAAAGGTTCAAGGTTCGATTCCCGCGCAGAACAGAAGCATTTGAGCATCGTTTCCTTTCAACTGATAGGCCTGTTCACCTAGCACTGATTAGGTACCTAGCAGTTGGGCAATTTATCGGTCCCATTCTGGCCCAGGGAAACCTTGGTAGGCTTACAGTAAACCACAGGGTGAACCATAAACATACTCACATCCTAATACCAGAATTGCAACATTACAATCATGATGCAACCAGTTTAGCGCCCTCATATTTTAAGGGAATAGGAAGTTCTTGTGCTGTGTTTACAAGTTTTGTTTATGCTGTGTTTACATGTTCTGTGTTGTGTTTTTACATGTTCAGTTTGAATTGGTATTTGTTTTTTTAATTTGTATTTGTGTTTTGATTTTACGTTACTTTGCTGCAATATTATCATGCGTTCATGCGTTCAACGTAATGTAAACACTATCATTCCTGCGCTCGCGCATCCAGACGCCCGTTGCGTTCTTAGGCTGACTCGTTCAAATTTCACCCGACCACAAAGGCACATTTATCAGTTTTAACGTAATCTTTTATTAAAAAATATATAAATGGTTTTGTATGTTAAAAGTGTACGCATTGCTAGGCTTGGAATAGGTTAGGTTAGGCGTTTTAGTTTTTTTCAGGAATATTCCTGCGCGGGCCCCTAAGCCTCTGGCTAGTCCACTAAGTGTTGCTTGTTTCTGTTTTACGTATAAGTATTTATGACTCGTATGGTCGCTCAAGAAAGATTTTGCCACATGTGTTTAACAACTGCTTTGTTGAATCTAAGTTGAAATCTTAATGGGTTTGTAACTGTGCACTGTGTTAGATAATGTTACAGTGGTCTGTCGGGCATTTCTCCACAGTATTGACATTTCCTCTCAACTTCTGGAACCTGTAAGCCTATTTCCCATGCACATGAGTATCCAAGCCTGATGCGATAAATTTTCATTCGCAAACACCCTGTGCCTTGTATAGTGACTTGTGAGCCTCTTGTTGAATCACTTGTGATACAAAAGATTATCGATGTGTATATATATTTGTGTAAATGAGTGTATATATATGTACATGTATATATAACATTAATAATTGTGTAACTAGCTTCAAAAGATTGTTACTTGCTTAGCTAAACGAACTATGGGGTTCAGTTCCTGAACCGATTATGTGCCTCTGTAACCCTTTACACCACCGCCCACGGGATGGGTATGGGGTGCATAATTAAGAAAGAAATTGAATTGCAAACACCCTGTTTGCCAATGAAAAATAATTTGAGCGCAGCTCTCCAATGATAACGTTCGAACTTTTCTTGATTTGCGCATCGTTTTTTTTTCCTATATTTTAAATACCTTTTAAAATGCTTTATCCATGTACTGCATATGTAGACCAGACCACACACTAGAAGGTGAAGGGACGACGACGTTTCGGTCCATCCTGGACCATTATCGTGTGTGACCGACTTGATAATGGTCCACGACGGACCGAAACGTCGTCGTCTCCTCATCTTCTGGTGTGGGTTAGTCATCATATCTTCATCCCCGTTGTTGTGACTCATCGTCTGCAGAATCAAAACATCTAATCTAACCTAACCTTATAGGTCTTATTATACTCAAAATTATAGTATACGCTAATTTATATTCAAGAAAAACAGTTTTTGGTTACATAGTAAGTTGATGTTGAGGAATGTGTGCGTGGGGTCGGTCGCAGCTTGGGCAAGCGTAGCCTAAAGAAGAGTTGTTTGATAAATGTTTGCAAACACACTTTGGGGGGTAGAAACAGCCTAAGCTACTCTATCCCTTTGAGACGTATTATTTTTTCTTGTCTCAATAAACTTAGTTGAACTTGAATTGAACTTGCAGACACACACGTGTACAACCTATCCCCCCCTCCCCCCTCTCACCACACTTGCAGTCACACTCATTCACATAATTATCTGTCCGAAACAAAGATGTGTTTTAACGTTTAACATCAAAAACTACTGATTATAATTCATATTAACAACTAACACAATACACACACAGGTCAAGCGAGTAACACAAAAATCTCAACACTGAACACAACACGTTTGTCCACCATCACAAAAACTAACATACATGACACAAGTCCTTTGTGATATGACCTGCTGTTCTACGTTGCTGTTGTTGTTGTTAAAGATTCGCTACCTGGAACAAAAAGCTCCAAGTAGCACAGGCTATAGTGAGCCCGTTGCTCTTCTACGTTGTTCCACTGGTAATATTTAGAGGATTTCTCTGTCTTCTGACAGGTCAACACGCTCTCTCTTTCAAGCCAAATAAATATTACTTGAGTACACCATCACTTTGAGTCTACTTAGAATGCAAATTGAATCAAAGTGCCGTTGACAACAGGAGTGAGGGACACCTAATTCACCACTTTAAATAAAACGGATCTCCAACAGCGAACCCGGGATTGACGGTAGAATGCGAAGTAACTACAGTAGTGCATTGCCAGTAACGGAACTGGCATTATATTTAAGTTCATCTCTTGTATTGTATACCAAGAGCCTTATTATACCATCCAAGAGTCTAGGTTCGTGCGTCGAGTCTTCCTGAGAGTCATAGATGCCGAGGACTATAGACTCCCACCTGTCTTAGTGGGTGACAATCTCCAGGTTCCTATAATGTATCAGGAAAAAGCTGCCTTTTGGGAGTCTTCATTGAGAGCGGACGCTTGAACCTCAAAATTTCAGGGCTGATGTCGCTCTTGGAGGTCAGACGGAGAGGGCGGAGTGGGTGGGCTGGTCGGGCTTGGGACGGAAGACTGGGTGGGCGAGGCGTTGGTGGTGGGCGGCGACAGAGGTGGATTGGGCACTGACGAGGCGGTGGAGGAGATGGAGGAGGCGAGAGTGGAGTAGTAGTGGGAGGTGAGGGAGGAGAGGGGAGAGGCTTGTGAGAGGGCGGAGAGAGGGGAGGGCTGAGAGAGGGAGTGGGGGAGAAATGGGCGAGGAGGCGGGACAGCTGGGCGCTGCGAGAGGGCCGCTGCAATGTGTCTGTAGTAGGCCTCCACACCTGAAACATAAGGAACACACATGTCAGTGGCTTTTGCTTTCGCGTTGTCAGGGTCAGGAAGCCTCTTGGGCTTATAGAGGCTTCCCTAAGCCTATCCACAACAGTTTACTAGCTCCTCGATACTTATTTACAGCTACGTAAACAGGAGCATTACATGAGAGGAAACGTGCTCAAGCGTCTGTCCACCTATGAGAATCGAACCCGGGACCTTTTCGGTGTTGGCCAGACTGTGTGGACCATATGACTGTTGAACAACTCTACGTAGGTCCAACTCAGGTCCAACTCTGCTCTCTACACTACCGCTGCGTTACCTGCCGTAGCTCCAACTCTGCTCTCTACACTACCGCTGCGTTACCTGATGTAGCTCCAACTCTGCTCTCTACACTACTGCTGCGTTACCTGCCGTAGCTCCAACTCTGCTCTCTACACTACCGCTGCGTTACCTGCCGTAGCTCCAACTCTGCTCTCTACACTACCGCTACGTTACCTGACGCAGCTCCAACTCTGCTCTCTACACTACCGCTGCGTTACCTGCCGTAGCTCCAACTCTGCTCTCTACACTACCGCTACGTTACCTGACGCAGCTCCAACTCTGCTCTCTACACTACCGCTGCGTTACCTGCCGTAGCTCCAACTCTGCTGTCTACACTACCGCTGCGTTACCTGCCGTAGCTCCAACTCTGCTCTCTACACTACCGCTGCGTTACCTGACGTAGCTCCAGCTCTGCGTTGCTTGGCTTTGTACGTCTCTGGCTAGGCTAAAAGGTTCGATTCTGACGGAGTGGCAAATCAAGAGTTCTCACACTGCGTGTCTAGCGTACTGAGCTGTGACCATGAATATTTATCTATTGTATTTGATATGTTTTTGGATTTCGTAAAGTGTGGGGGTTGGGGGGGGGGGAGAAGCCGAAGTGGGCTTACCTGTGGGAAGGGTGGGCGTGAGGTGGGCGAGAGCGGGCGTGGGAGACCAGCAGGGCTGGCCGTAGAGCCTCTGAAGGGTGGCGTAGTTCCCGGCCTCCGCCAGCAGCTCTAGACCCACCGCTGTCTGCCGCTTCCACTTGGTCCTGTAGGGAAGGTTAGGTTAGTGAGTTACTCCGGTCTGCGCGCACACACACGCACGCACACACACACACACACACACACACACACACACACACACACACACACACACACACACACACACACACACACACACACACACACACACACACACACATTTAGGGCATTTAGGGCGCTTTACACTGCCTACGTAAGGCCAGTCTTAGAGTATGCCGCCTCATTATGGAGTCCCCATCTGAAGAAGCATATAATGAAACTGGAAAAGGTTCAGAGGTTTGCAACGAGACTCGTCCCAGAGCTACGAGGGATGGGGTATGAGGAGCGCCTGAGGGAACTGTGCCTTACGACACTAGAAAGAAGAAGGGAGAGGGGGGACATGATAGGAACGTATAAGATACTCAGAGGGATTGACAGAGTGGACATAGACGAAATGTTCACACGCAATAGTAACAGAACGAGGGGACATGGATGGAAGCTTGAAACTCAGATGAGTCACAGAGATGTTAGGAAGTTTTCTTTTAGCGTGAGAGTAGTGGGAAAATGGAATGCACTTCAGGAACAGGTTGTGGAAGCAAATACTATTCATAATTTTAAAACCAGGTATGATAGGGAAATGGGACAGGAGTCATTGCTGTAAACAACCGATACTCGAAAGGCGGGATCCAAGAGTCAATGCTCGATCCTGCAGACACAACTAGGTGAGCACAACTAGGTGAGTACACACACACACACACACACACACACACACAGGGGCCTCGCGGCTGAGTGGACAGTGCTCAGGGTCGCAATCGCAAGTGCTCGGGTTCGATCCCCAGCGGAGGCGGAAACAAATAGGACAGAGTTTCTTTCACCATGATGCCCCTGTTCACCTAAACAGGTACCAGGGAGCTAGACAGCTGCTACGGGCTGCTTCCTGGGGCTGTATGTGTGTGTGCGTGTATTAAGAGAGAAATATATGTCGTAGATATAATATAAAAATACATTGGTTAGAAAGGCGGCGTCCAAGAGCTTATAGCTAGATTCTGCAGATACAAATAAACACACACAGAGCCACTGGGAGCCTCTTCAGTGAGCACCTCTTTATCCCGACAGCAACGATCCCTTTCATAAAGAGAGCCCGGCGAGATGAGTGCCGCGGCGGCGGACCTCAACACAGAGACATAAAATCGAGGTGCAGAACGAATGTGATAAACGATGGTGGGGAAATGTCCCCGGCTGGGGAAGGGGAAAGAGGACGTCATGGAAGGGAGAAAAGGGTTTTAACGCCCAGCCTGTCCGTCGAAGAGGCCAGGGTGACGCCCCGTAGGGTGTGTGTGTGGGAGGGAGATGTCGTCCGGAAAGGGATGGAGGACCCAGGGAGTGAGGGAGGGGCGCTGAGTGATGTCTCACTGGGTAGAGGGTGATTCAAGAGAGAGAGTTTTCATGTGGTGATGATGATGATGATGATGATGATGATGATGATGATGAGTCGACATTGGCCCCTGGAGTTTTAAAGGACTTGTCGTTGACTAGGAGTAGTCAGCGAGGAAATATGCCTTAAGATAGCCTCAAGATATCCTCAAGATAACGTCAAGGGGGTGTTGTAACCTTCAGGAACTGACCCCAGCAGTGTCCTTACAAGACTCACTTTGCTGTGAAGTATTCTTGGGAGACTGACTTCGCTCTGAAGTAACCTACAGTCCTACGTTCGATTTCCGTTGGTCAGGTAATACTTTAAATTCAGTTTAGGCATAGTGTCCAATGTGTCCAACGTCCTGTGGTTAGAACCTAACTAGTACCGAATGTCCACCAAGGTTAGGGGTCTTCTGAACTTGAGTAGGATCATAGTTTAAAAAGAACCCGGTTACGAAGGGTTCTTGCCGCTCCTGTCAGGTAAGTCCACTACGGGCTCACCATAGGCCGTGCTACTTGGAACTTGTTCCGAGTAGCTGAATCTATAACAACAACCACAACGAAGGGTTCGTAACAGCCGTGATGTGATGGTGAACGTTGTTTATAGTGATGGGCTACGGCAGTGGTGGTAATGGATGTTACAATAATTGCGGTGACAGCGATGGTTATAGCAGTGGGTGATTACAGCAGGAGTGACGGTTAGTTACAGCAGGTGGGGGGGGTAGTACATCAGTGGTGGCGACGCCACTGGTGATTACAACAGTGGCAAGTGGTATTTGGGGGGAGGGAAGCTTCTCATCATTACCCAAAATATCTTCAACCACACCACCACCCCCACCAACCACGCCACGCCCCCCCCCCCCTTCACCAACCACGCCACCACCCCAACCAACCACGCCACCCTTCCCACACATAATTTGTCACCGTATCAATTAAATTACTATCGCGTGTTCCTCGACGCACACACTCCATTATTGGCGTGTTGTAAACAAATATTAAATAAACGCATAAAGATGAGAGAGCCGGAATATTGAAAATATTTTACTTATAATTGTAAAATTATAAAAATTAATATATATATATATATATATATATATATATATATATATATATATATATATATACACATATATATATATATACATACATACATATATATATATATATATATATATATATATATATACATACATACATATATATATATATATATATATATACATACATATATATATATATATATATATATATATATATATATATATATATATATATATATATATACATATATATATCAATAACAGTCACGTTAAAGATATGAGGCTTCGTTAACACGAAGGGATTGATTGACTGTCGCAATCACAGACTAACAAAAGACTGATATACTCAAAGACTGACAGACTAGCAGACTCCAAGTCAAAAGACTCAAACATTAACTCGCCAATTAAAATCCCGCACTGTCTAATACAAGCAGTCGTAGAGGCGGGGCCAAAGAGCCGAAGCTCAATCCGTCCCAGCACAATTAAGTGCGCAGAGACCAACAGATACACTCACAGACTAACAAAGACACAAGCAAACTAACAACCAGATTTGAAAAAAAAAATAGTATTTTGCGGTGTTCGGAACTAAATTCGTGATCTGTAGTGTTCGAAATGCGGATCTAAAAATATAATTTATAAATTCGTTTCTGCCATAATAGTACAACTTTAAATGTATATATGTCAAGGTTTTATTATTTATTTTGTGTTAAGTTAAGAAATATACTTCTTAAGACATAAAGTTAAGAAGTATGTATATACCTTATAGACAGTAAATAGCAGTAAATAGGTACTCGGGAGTTAGTCAGCTGTCACGGGCTGCTTCCTGGGGGTGGAGGCCTGGTCGAGGACCGGGCCGCGGGGACACTAAAAAGCCCCGAAATCATCTCAAGATAACCTCAAGAAGATAACATGAAGTTAAAAAGTACATATACGTCCTTACAGGTATATAGAGTAAGAAGTAAGCATACCTCATCACATACGTGTGAAGTTGAGAAATAAACACTACTTCCTTATTCAGTCACACAGACATGAAGTTATAAAGTAAAATAAAAACAAAACTTCATGTTTATGTAAATATCCATATACCTCTTTTTTATCAATATAAAACTGACAAGCAAAAAAATACTTCCTTGTACCTACGTCAAGTTGAGAAGTATAAATAGCATATGCACTTGGTGGTGATAATAATAATAATACTTCTTTTTAATGTAGAGAAGTAGAAATGACAAGTAAACCAGGTCGTTGATCAGTTCTTTGAACAGACGCTCAAAGTTCCGCCAGAAATGAACACGAGAAAATATACTTTGTAGGTCTCCCTAGTGTGAAGATACGGTCCTGAATGGGACCATCTTCAGGTCCTGAACGACCCCACATAAAGACACTGAAAGACCTCCTACCTCCTGAACCGAACCATTTCTAAAGTACTCCATTGCACCTTCGGAATGTTAATGTTTAAGAAAACGCGGTAATCCGGACTGGGAGTAAATAGCGGATAATTATATTTTGAGTCCTAAATTGCACTCTGCTTTAATATTCGCATTTTCCGGCACTGCGCTAGGCTATTGTGCAAGGTTTTGTGATTATTTACGAGCACGCCTCCTGCACACACACACACACACACACACACACACACACACACACACACACACACACACACACACCTGGTAGGGGTCTGGTAGCTGAGCGGACAGCGCGCAGGACACGTAATTCTGTGGCCCGGGTTCGATTCCCGGACCAGAGAGAAACAAATGGGCAAAGTTTCTTTCACCCTGAATGCCCCTTATTACCTAGCAGTAAATAGGCACCTGGGAGTTAGACAGCTGTATGGGTTGTGATATAAACGTAAAGAGACAGTCAAAAGTAGAAGATATAGAGACAGACGAGAAAAGAAATGAGAAAGAAACAGGAAATTGTTTACGAAGGGGACGGGAATAGAGACGGGTAACTGACAAGTAGTTTACATTACTTGATTCACAGATACAGACTAAACTAGAATCTTAAGAAGCAGCTCCTAAGGGTAAACTCATGTACCTGGGAGATCCTTTACAAGGTAAACCCATGTACCCAACAGCTAAAAGGATAAACCAGTATACCAGTGTTGTGGTACACCAGTATGCCAGTTTACCAGTATACCAGGGGGGGCCACTCCTCCAGGTTTCACAGCCACCGGGCTATAGGGGCTACTCGTAATGCTTATTAAAACCTATTGAAGCCTTTGTGGCAACAATTAATCATAGGTCCCATACGCGACTCCTCAATAGCGGGGTGACTGTGCGGATATATGTGTGTGTGTGTGTGTGTGTGTGTGTGTGTGTGTGTGTGTGTGTGTGTGTGTGTGTGTGTGTGTGTGTGTGTGTGTGTGTGTGTGTGTGTGATGAAAGGTCTCTCTGGCAAGACATTATAAGGACGGTAATCCCAGGAGAAAACTGCCTTCAGCTCGGAGGTTAAGCAATTTCAATAGAAGATGAAACAAGCAAATAACAACAATACACACCCAAGCATAAAAAACATACACACACAAAAAAAAAGCAGAGAAATCAGTCCAGTGACACGAGTTTTTTTTTCACCCTTGG